CAGCAGCAGCAGCAGCTTGCTGCTGTGCGCGGGCTGCAGCAGCGGAGACTTGCTGCTGCTGTCCTTAGCACAAGAACGCATGCAGCAGCTTTCTCTCTTGGGCTCTCATGAAAGGGGAATCCTCAGCGTGGCTTACCACAGTCAGTCTGGCCTCTTCTTCTCCGGAGCCAAGGTCTGCTGCTGCTGCTGCTGCTGCTGCTGCTGCTGCTGCTGCTGTCGCTGCTGCTGCTGCTGTTGCTGTTGATGTTGATAAGGGTGCTGACGATAGTGGTGTTGCTGCTGTTGGTTCTGCTGCTGCCTATGGCTCTCCGTTGCTGCTGCCACTGCCACTGCCACTACTGGCACTTCTTTGCTGTTTCTGCCGCTGCTGCTGCTGCTGATATGCTGCTGCTGCTGCTGCTGCTTATCGTGATGCAGTTGGTGCTGCTGACACCACTGCACGTTAGGGAGCTGCTTGCGGCTCTGCTGCTGCTGATGCGGCTGCTGCTGCCGCTGTTGCTGCTGCTGCTGCTGCAGGACCTGATGGCCCTAGGCTTCGACTGCAGGGCCCCGCGGAGGCCCGCGCTGTCGCTGCAGCACGAAGACTGGGTAGCTGCGCTGCATGCAGCAGCAGCGCCGCTGCTGCCTCACACAATACGCAGTAATTCGCACAGTTGCTGTTGCTGCTGCTGCTGCTTTGATTGCTGCTGCTGCTGCTGCTACTGCATTGGAACGGGTGCTGTTACTCCAGTGGAACAGTTGCTGCTCGTGTCGCTGCTGCTGCTGTTGCTATAGCGGGTCTGCTGCTACGTAATTTATTGCTGCTGCTGCTACTTTTGCTGCTGCTGCTGCTGCTGCCGCTTCTACAATCAAGGCCGAGGCACAACACAGGCACACAGCCAACTACACAACAGCAGCAGCTCCTGTCCTTCGGGTTCGCCTGTCACTTGCGCTTCTGCTCATCACTGCTACCGCTGCTGCTGCTGCTGCTGTTGCTGCTGCTGCTGCTGCTGCTGCTTGGGGTGTCTGTACAGCTGGAGACAAACGCGTGCACACTTGGGACGTCCGCTTCCCCACAGCGCCGCTGCCGGAATTGCCCCACAAGCAGCACTGCCACAAGCAGCTCATTTCGGGTCTACGGTGCGTTGCTGCTGCTGCTGCTGCTGCTGCTGCTGGTGTCAAGGCTGTGGCTGTGGCTCTGCTGCTGCTGCTGCTTCTGGCGCGGCGCTGTTGCCCCGCCGGTGTTGCTGTTGGCGTTCGGGACCTTTGTTGCTGCCGCTTCTGCCGCCGCTGCTGCTGCTGCCGCTGCTGCTGCTGCTGCTGCTGCATGCATGCAGCAGCAAGAGCGCATGTGCTGCAGCTCGGACGCGTTGCGGCTGGTCAGCTGCTCCCTGGATGGCTGCGTGCTGTCTTCATCTGTGGAAGCTGCAGCAGGCAGCAGCAGCACAAGTTTGTCGACGGAGGTGCTGGACGTGGCTGCAGCAGGAGCCGCAGCAGCAGCAGCAGCAGCCACTGCAGCAGCAGCAGCAGCATGCTTTCCCAGAGCCGTGGGGCAGCAGCATAGCGACTGGCTGCTCGCTGTGGACTTCGCAGAGACGAAGCTGGCAGCAGCAGCAGCAAATGGGGTGCTGCGCCTGTATGACTTTTCGCAGCGGCTGCTGCAGCAGCACGAATGCAAGAGACGCTGCTCTGCCTCGTTTTAATACTGCTGCTGCTGCTCCAGCTGCCACAGCAGCCGCAGCAGCAGCAGCTCCCGCCTGCCTCAGTTGCAGCAGCAGCAGAAGCACGCCAGCGTAGTATTTTTGCTTCCGATTCAATGTAGCAGCAGCACCAAAAGAAGAAGCAGCAGCAGCAGCAGCTGCTGCTGCTGCAGGTGCTTGTCTGTCTTTGTTTGCACGATAGGTCACGATGTGTCTTTCTTGTTCCCCTTCGCGATTTGTCGCAGCCGCTGCTGCTGCTGAAGCGAAAGCAGCAGCTGCTGCTGCAGCACGGAGATGCCAGAAGCAGCAACAGCAGCAGCAGCAGCAGCAACAACAACAGCTAATAAGGATGGGCAGCATTAGCAGCAGCAGCAGCTGTTGCTGCTGACGATAATGAAAACTAGCTACCCTTCCACAGCCCAGCTAGCCACACCATTGTATCGCAGAGACGCCAGCATCAGCAACAGCAGCAGCAGCAGCTGCTGCTGCTGTTGCTGCTGCTGTTGCTGCTTTATATTTGTCCGTGCACAGTCAGCAGCAGCAGCAGCAGCAGCAGCAAGTCTGTTACTTCTTTATTTGAGACTTTCCTGCGGTGTTCAAACACCTGAATCATTTGTGAGGTGCAGCTTGCCGGTGCCTTCCTAAACCTTAAACCCTAAACCCTAAACCCTAGACGCTAAACCCTAAACCCTAAGTCCTAACATAGGGACAGCGAGAAACAAGACAAAAATTAGAAGAGACAGGGATGCGACCTATCCGTTAAACCCTAAACCCTAAACCCTAGCGAGTAATACGTAGATGGGGTTTTAAGTGTGAAGCAAAGCCAGCAGAGGCCAGCGCTGCAGCTCTTGCTGCTGCT